AATATGTTGTGCCACATGTTTTTGTATTATTGTTTTGCCTATATTTATTATTATTATTATTATTAGTTCTTGAGCTTTAATTTGACCCCCTAAACACGTTCAAAAATCACCAACTTTGCCCAATTAAAGTTGAATTGATCAAAAAAAAAAATATTGATTAAATAGTTGGGTGCACAGGTCGCCTATGCGTTCGTCGTAGTGAAAGCAATAGGCCTACGGCCCTGCAGGTCAGGCCTATATTGAAAGAAACTACTAATAAGATAACATTGACATTATGATTATAATTTGGTTAATATTATGAAGCTACATGTTTTGCACGCTATTTGCTTCTCACTTCTGTCTAAAACTGTGACTGAGTTTTATTTCCAAAACAAAATGATCAGGAATGAGTCAGGTGAAGGTGGATATAAAAGGCCAGCTTCTTCCTGGATATCACTGGATGACATCACAGTGAGCACAAGTTATGAAACATATATGTTAGTCTATATATGGCTAAAATCTTCAAATGTCATTTCATTGTTTTATTGTGAGCAGCATCGCCTTTCACAGATCTGACCTGTAACTATAACTACTGCCTTACTACTCATTTTACTATCTTCTCCGTGGATCAGCGGTGTGAACCCTGCTCAGAACCATTGATGCACAGTGTCCCAACCTGGTGTGATGCTCGTGGGGTGGTCTGGCTGTGTGCTTCAGAAGGCCAAATGAGGGCAGTGCAGTCCCACTTTTGTCCGAGTGTTCAGTAAAGGCCCCGTCACCACAGTCCAGGCTGCTACAAATAACAATCTATGTTTTTCAAGTATTTGAGCATAAAAAAACACTAACCTGAATAAAAGCAAGTTAGTGTGTGTAAATGCCATAGCATTGGAACATTAAAACACCTACCTTAAATCCATTTAGTATGTAACATTTTGTGAAAAAAAAAAAAAAAAAAAAAAAGAGTTCTATTTCTGGTTTAGCCTTCTTAATTCTGAGTTTAATCTTCTGGTTTAACTTCTTTAGTCCTGTCTGACTCCGGATTTAATCCTGGTGCGCGGTTCTAGTCTGGCTTTAATCCCTCTACTTGCTGATCCTTCTGGAATTCATAGCCCTGGTTAGTCCTGGCTTCTCCTGCATCACACATGAATCAAAAGTGGAACAGAGAGAGGAACTGTGTGAATGAACAAAAACACAACTCCATTTCTGTTGTGATGAGGAAAAGACATAAGAACAGCTCAGGAAATGAAGGTCAAAGGGTTTAAATCGTCTGAGCCGACATTATTTTTACAGTTTACGACACAAAAGTTTCAGCCCAGGACAGATTCTGAAAGATTCTTCAAATACATTCATGGAAAATTATACATAAGTGGAACATGACAGTATTTATTTACAGAGCTGGAATGTACATCACAGGCCAGGGGATTCATTGCGTATCGGCACTGTTCGGGCAAGTGACTTTGAACTGTAATGGTTATTTATGACTTGTTACTGTCATTTCAATCATTATTACATTACAATATTACTGTAGTTAAAATGTAAAACATTACATTACTATTGCAGCACTTTTAAGTATCTCACCAAAAGAACTGTTGGAAGATGCTGAACTTTTGTTGCAAGTATATGGACTTGAACCAGGACTTAAACCAGGTCTAAACCAGGACTGAACCAGGACTAAACCAGGTCTAAACATGTTAAACCAGGACTAAACCAGAACTGACCCAGGACTAAACCAGGTCTAACCAGGACTGAACCAGACTAAACCAGCGTCTAAACACAACGACTGATATGCAGGACTTAAACAGGATTAAGCCGGGACTAAAGCAGCGTCAACAGGACAAACCAGATCAAGGTAACAGGTGAAAACAGTGATAGGCGCCGCTCCAAGTAACCAGGACTAACAGACTCAGGACTAAACCAGGATACACGGACTAATCTTACTTAACTGAATTTAGGTCGCGTAGAGCCAGAACCGTGGACAGGGTTGTCTCAAGGCATGACGGCATCAGCTCGTGGGTGTGGATTCTGCTCAGTCTTATCAGGTACCTGACGGCTACTGTTCTGTTAGCGTTTCACGCTGCTATATGCGTTGATCTTTAACAAATTTGTGTGAAATAAAATCACTCTTCAACACGTTAAACGCATTGTTCACTGTACGATTTGTACCGAGTAAAATATGCAGTTTTTCCATGTAATACAACAAAGCATATACAGTATTTTGAACTTTAAACCGTTACTCCCAACACTGTTTATTGGTGGTGGTTTTACTGTCAACCTTCAGATTCAGAGGAGGACGCACTTTACCAGCGGACTACTGCAACCAGAACAGCCAAGTATTCAGAAGCAGTATTCTGAATACAAAAGATACTCACAAAGGTTTAGTTATAGTTTATAAGGTTTGGTTTAGTACTAGACCTGGTTTGTATTTGTAGTGGAGCCCTGATTTAGTCTAGTTAGTTCTGTGTTTTAGTCCTATGTTTTAGTTCTGTTTGTAGTCTGGTTTGTCCGGGTCATTTGTGGTCCAGGTTTAGCGGTTTTAGTGTCTGGTGTTAGTGTTGTTAGTCCTCATCTGGTTTAGTCTGTGAGTTGCTGTATTCTGGTTTAGTCCTATGATTTTGTTATATTGGTTAGTCTATGGATCCTTAATTTTTATTTTCTGTTGTGAGGTTAGTCTATGTCTATTAGTCTGGTTTATCCTGATTTTTAGTCCGTTATTCATAGGTTTAGCCTCCGTGGTTTTGTTATAGTTTAAGTTGTTGTCTTCAGGTTTAGAAGTTCTTGGATTTACGGTGATTGTAGTTCCGGTCTAGTTCTGTTTGTCCTGGTTTACTTGTTTATTTAATCCTGGTTTAGTCCTGGTCTATTTCTGGTTATCTTGTTAGTTCTGTTTTAGTCTTGGTTACTTTTTATTTTCCGTCTGTTATTTAGTCTTGTCTAGTCCTTAGTTTTCTGGTCTAGTTCTGGGTTTAGTCCTGTTAGTGTTATGTTAGTCTGGTTCTACTGGTTCAGTCCTGGTTTAGTCCTGATGTAAGTTCCTTTGTCCTGGTTTAGTTCTGTTTAGTCCTGGTTTTAGTTCTGTTGTTCTGTTTTAGCTTTTAGTTCGTTTAGTCTGTTAGTCCTGTTTTAGTCTGTTTTATCCTGTTTTAGTCCTGGTTTAGTCTTTGTTTTTAGTTCTGTTCTAGTCCTGGTTTAGTCCTTTTTTTTCCTGATGTCTGTTTTAGTCCTTGGTTTAGGGTGAGTGTTTATTTGAGTCCTAGTCCTTTACTGAGTCTTTTGTCTGTTTAGTTCGCAGTCCTGGGTTGGTGTTTTGTCTGGTTTAGTTCTGGTTTACAGATGTCCTGTTTAGTTCTGTGTAATCTGTGTTTAGTCCATTAGTTCTGTTTAGGCGTTTAGTATGTTTACTTGTTGTAGGTGGATGAGCCGGTTTAGGATATCCTGGATCAAGTAGTCCTAGTTTAGCGAACCTGATATCTGTTTAGTCGTTTTAACTGTTAGTTCGATTAGTCCTGTTAGCCGATATTCCTCTGTAGTCCATTTATCCTGGTTAGTTCTTTTTGTCTGTTTATCAAGTGTCCTCGTTAGTTCTGTAAGCCGGTTTAGTTCTGGAGTCCTGACATTCGTGGTTAGTCTTGGCCACGAGGCTCTTAGACTGTTTAGTCTGTGTAGCTCTTTAGTCCTTTAGTGCGTTTTAACGTTTTAGTCAAGTTGCCGTTAGTTGGTCGTCCTGTGAGTCTTTAGTCTTGGCTACTGTTTTGTATCCTGCGTAGTTCCGGTTATCAATTAGTGGGGTTAGCCTGTTCTCGCTGCTCTTCTGGACTCTGGGCTCTGGTTCGTCTGGAGCGGCTCATCTCCACTGACCCAGCACTAACCCCTGTACGCATGCGCACTCCTCCGCTCTGCCTGCAGTACCCCACAACGTCCACTGAGCGCGCTGTTGTTCCACCCGTCCCTCCTCCTCCTCCTCCGCGCACGGACAAAGAACCAACCGTGCACACGGAGAAACACTATTTATTTCATTTTAATACTTTTGACCCTTTTCAAATGAGCAACGGAACGCTCTCAACTTCTTCTTCATCTTCTTCTTCTTTTTTTTGTTTTAATATATTTAAATTTATTTCATTTTTTTTAAAAGAAGTAAACATTTTTATTACAAGCAAAGCAGCAGTCACACTGTCAAAACGTTCAGCCATACCAAACAGACAATTATAGACTAAATAAATAATTAAGTAAAAAACAAACAAACAAATAAATACATAAAATATAGGCCTAATAAATAAAATACAAATGAAAGATTAAAAAAAGCAGACCTAAAAATTCGCATTATTATTTTACCCTACACCTGTTTGATTAGTTTAACTGTTTAATTGCAGTGCTTCTTTTATTTATTTTTGTATGTTTTTATTTTGTTATGTTTTTGATTAACTATATATATATTATTTCAACTTTTTAGATTTATTTATCTATTTTTTACATTTTTATTTTTTTGATCCTATGTGTTTTCATCCATTCAATTTGCACTCGTGAACGAAAAAACAAAACGGTGAGATTTAAAAAAAAAAATAAAATGAACACCGTCATTTTTATTTATTTGTTTGTTTGTTTGTTTGTTTGTTTGGCCCCGGAACTGTGAAGCGAAGCCCCGGGGTCGCAGCGGTGGCGTGGTGGAGACCGGGGTGGTGGTGGTGTGGGGAGGGGGGGTGTGGTGGTGAGGAGGGCGGGGGTCGTAAAATGGCCTCCGCTCCGCACGCACCGCCCCCGAGACGAGCGAGCGTCGTATGAGCGAGCGCCGCCAGGACGCACGGACGCACGCACGGACGGACGGACGGACGGACGGGAGCTCTTTCCACCATTCATCCCCGCTTTCCCTCCGCCTCCTCCGTCAGTCACAGAGCGGCGAGATGGTGAGGCGAGAGAGCCACCACCACCACCACCTCCACCACCACCACTGATGAAGCGCTGCACCGGGAACGAACCAGAGAACACCGACGTGCGTTCACCCCAAAGTCGCGTACGCACTCTTTGTTTAACGACGTCGTGGATGCTACCGTAGTCACTGGAACCTTGCGTTGGATTGTACTCGCAAATGTTGGGATTTCTAGTTGCATTTTTTGCGTACGGATTTACAACCTATTTGGCTCCGTGCTCTCCACTCTAGGATCGTATTCCCAAGTCGCTCGCTCGTTCTTTCGTTCAATTGTTTTAGGATGAAGCCGTGGACACGAGTGAGCACGTTATAACGCACTTGCCGAACAGTTTTGGAAACAAGAGATGCTCTGGTTTTAACCTGGGATAAAGCGGGCCAGGTAATGGGAAAGAAACCGAGCCGGGAGAACAACGGAACAGTGTTGGTTACGGGGTCTGATCGGGCGCAGTCGGAGCACAAATCGCTCGCGTAAATTCGATTTGGAGCCCCGCTGGAGTTGATGAGAAATGAACGTGGGAACGCCGACGACACGGGGATGATCTAGCCGTGCCACCGAGCGCTTTCATCCGGATCCGAACGAGTTACTACGGGGGAGATTTTGGACTATAGCTCGCTACTTACCGTGCGTAATAAGCGCCCAGAGGCTTCGGGGCGCCAGCGGTCAGATGGAGTTGCACTTTATGGGTGTCGGGGTTGACATGGCGAGGCGGGGGAGCGCAAATGGAGCGGTCATCCTTATGGTTTTCTTGCTGGATTTAGTGGGGACGACGGCCAGCAGCATGGAACCGATCTACTGGAACTCAAACAACGAAAGGTAAGGCACGCACACGCTGGATAACTAACTAACTTCGAACTTACGGTTTACGAAGCGAGAATTACGCATGGTTCACCCGTTCCACACGTGTAAATACTGATTTTAGTCACGAAATATTGGTTAAAACGCGAAAAGAGGAGTTGTAATTTCACGTTTTTTTCTCTTCCACTTGTTTGAGTCGAACTGTGCACGGGAGCTTGGATAATCCTCCATCTCACAACCTCATTTGTTAAACACAAAAAAGTAGGATTAATGGAAAGAAAAACTAACAGATTTGAATTTAAAATCTTTGAATTTGACTCGTTTTTTGTCAGTGTAATTTTATGCTAACTTTGATTGACACAATATTTTCGTTAATTTTCTTCACTTTTCGAAATGCGAACAAAATCAACAGCAGTTTCGGGATTTTTTTTTTTAATTGCAATTTTTACTTCTTTGTCTAGCTCTGTTGACAAAAAAAAATATCTGGTTTCAAACATAATTCATGATTTTGTGAATTTCCTGAAACTATGGCCTAAATCGTAACCAAATCTAAACCGTCAAAACGTGTCGAATCATTTTTACGCACGGGATTTTTGCTATTCTTTTTTTTTATATACACATTTATTTATTGGCACAGTGGAGTGACAAAACTGGGACACGTTCTTTTTTTTCTCCTCACACAATTTATGCTACATTTAACTAGGCTACGTGACTCAAATCTCTGGAAATTCAGTAGCCTACATTTCGCGTCATGCAATGTACTAAACATGTCGTAGGCCTGTGCTTGCTTAGTAACGCGTTTATAGACCGTAGCGATTATTTGTATCGATAAATTTTAGTTATTTATGCGTTTAGCCACATTGTTGTCACGATACGATATTAACATTTTAGACTCGGTTTCGAAACTAAAGAATTGATACACTAGTTGTGATAAAACTCAAGATGGAACAGATCAGGAAAGGTCAAATTGTATGTGTGTGTGTGTTTTTTTTTTTTTTTTTTAGTATCGATGCTCGCTTAAATTAGTTTCGATTCTAGTTTTATTCACAATCCTATTTAATGATGGTATTGTTTGTGTGTTGGACATGGGGCATTTGTCTAAAACTGTACGATATTTAAAATTACCCATGATCCTCAGATGTTTAAAGGGGCGCCACCGTTAAAGCTGCACTATGCCACGTTTCTGGTCGAGCATACGCCACCTGCTATTGCCCATTGTGATTCTACTGCTTCCCTGAGTACGTTCCACAGTATGGCATTAAACTGTCTCAATAGAGCCTCGCGAGTGATGGTACCGGGGCGAGTCACAGGTCAGATCTGCGAAGAAGCGATGCCAACTCATGGTGAGAACGCGAGCTTTTGATTCGTAAAACTCCTGTAATGAAATAAAAGCTCGGTGGATTAGCGTAATGCAGCGCTGTGGAACATTTCAGGCAAAGCAATAACATCTCCATGGCGACAAGAAAAGCTACACAGTGCACATTTAACAATATTCATCAAACAGGCCTATATTTTTTTTATAGTCACGGCCTGTCGTTAATAAGTTGACACCCCTTTCTCCCATTACTCTTACAGTGTCAAATGCTTATAGATTACTGCTGTCACAATACTAAAATTTCAAACTAGAATAGATTCGATACTCAATACCGTTTCCAATACCACAGTGATAATAAAAAAACATCTTTCTTTAGACAGTGGAATATGATTTTCAACATTAAATCATTGAACTTTCTTTTCTATTCCCATGTGGCCTTATATCTGTGCTCTTTTACAGCTCAAGATCATTCTAAAGGCTTTTTTAGTATCGATACTTTCTCAAATGAGGATCTTATTTCGATACTAGTCTCAGCGTTGATTCCTATCTGATTTTTGACCAAATGAAATGCCTTTGTTTATGTTGACAACCCTCCTTCCATATTCTTGGAGTGTTAAGATGTTGCGGTGTGGTTAGATAATTAATAAAAACGATGTAATTTTACTATGATTTTTAAAGGGACAATACGTAACCTTTCTGGCGAAGCGTCCACCTTCTAGTATCTGCTTTCCTTGTCTTGTTGTAAGTACACTAGGGGTCGAATACATGGTTGGATTCTAGAGTGATGGAGATGTTGCTGAATCCGTGTGTCATTCGTTCATTTGTTTTTCAAAATAAAACCAATAATAAGAAAAAGAAAAAGCAACTATTTTATTCATTATTTGTCTCCAAAACCAAAATGAAAAAAAAAAAAAAAAAAAGATTCCTTTTTTCAGTATTCAATTTTGTGTTTAAATGAATAATTAAAAAACACGATAAATGGACTGAACCAGGTCTTAACTAGTTCTAAACCAGGACTAAACCGTTTTCAGTCCCGGTCTAGTCCCAGACTGGTCCCGGTCTCAATCACAGTCTGGTCCTGGTCTAGTCCCGGTCTCAATCCTGGTCTGGTCCCGGTCTCTGTCCCGGTCTCTCAGAGTCCTGGTCTCAGTCCAAGTCTGGTCCCGGTCTTAGTCCCAGTCTGGTCTTGGTCTGGTCCCAGTCCTGGTTTAGTCCTGGTTCAGTCCGTTATCCGTGTTTTCCATTATCCGTTTAAACACAAAATCAAAAAGTGAAAAAAACGAATCATTATCTGTTTTTCCATTTTGGTTTTGGAGACAAATAATGAAGAAAATAGTTGTTTTTTCATTTTCTTCTTTTTGGATTTATTTTGAAAAACAAATGAACGAATGACACATGGATTTTTCAGATTTTCCTTGATTGTTCTGCAATATGGCATTAATTAGACAGGGCCAAGTTACAACGCGATGATGTTTTTCGAGGTATATCTTCAATAACTGCGGGATAGATACGTTTAAGGACCAAGCAACCACATCTCCATGGAGACGTGCAGGTGGTGGACCCTCACCAAAAAAGTTTCCTAGTGTACATGTAATAGCCTATATTTAAAACAGCAGCATCTGTTTGATTGCGATGCGTTTAGAGTCTTGGCTCATTTGGTTTGGCTCGGTTCCGTACGTTCCTACAGGTCCCCGAAGGCAGCAGCGTAAGACCTTCTTCAGAAAAGTTACGTAGTCTATCTTTAATAGCATCTGATGGCAGCTTGTCGTGTTGTGATTGCGATGCGTTCGAGGTCCTTGTCTTCGCTGTGCGGGTCATTTGCTTTGGCTCGGTTCCATATGCTCCGTCAGGTCCTTGAACGCAGCGGATGAGACCCTCACCAGAGAAGTTACACAGTGCCCCTTTAATAGCTAATAATATTTCTGATAGCGGCTTGTCATGATTTCATTGTGATGCGTTCAGTGGCCTCCTCTTTGCTGTGTGTGCGTATGCGGTTAGTTCGTTTGGCTCAGTTCCATACGCTCATACAGGTCCCTGAACGCAACAGCATATGACCCTCACCTTATAAGTTACACAGTGTATCTTTAATCGCTTATGATAGCAGCTTGTCGTGTTTTGATTGCGATGCATTCAGTGTCCTCCTCTTTGCTATGTGAATGTGGTTAGTGGGTTTGGCTCAGCTCCATACTCTCCCGTGGGTCCCTGAAGGCAGCAGCATAATATCCTCACCAGAAAAGTTACATCGTGTATCTTTAATAGCTTATAATATTTATGATAGCAGGTTGTCATGTTTTGATTGCGATGCATTCAGTGTCCTCCTCTTTGCTGTGTGAATGTGGTTAGTGAGTTTGGCTCAGTTCCATACTCTCCTACAGGTCCCCGAAGGCAGCAGCGTAATATCCTCACCAGAAAAGTTACACAGTGCCCCTTTAATAGCTAATAATATTTATGATAGCAGCTTGTCATGTTTTCATTGTGATGCGTTCAGGGTCCTCTTTGCTCTGTGTGTGTGTGTGTAGTCCGTTGGTTTGGCTCAGTTCCATACGCTCCTCCAGGTCCCTGAAAGCAGCAGTGTAATATCCTCACCAGAAAAGTTACACAGTGCCCCTTTAATCGCTTATGACATTTAAAACAGCATCGTGTTTTGATTGCGATGCGTTCAGGGTCCTCCTCTTTGCTTGTGTGTGTATGTGTGTGGGGTCAGTGGGTTTGGCTCAGTTCCATACGTTCCCTACAGGTCCCTGAAGGCAGCAGCATATGGGCAGTAAACGTCTCAGTGTGACCCCTGGCGACGGATGCCATGTAACGTTAGTGTATGTGTAATGTGTAATCTGCCCCTCACACATGAAGAAGGTTAATCATGTGATACAGATCTGAACACGCAAGATGGAAAATAATAAACACTGAAATAATTTATTCAACAATGCATGCAAAAAATAACTGTAAGATTTAAAAGTGCGCTACTTACAGTAAAGGGCCTATATCACTTTATTTTCTGATTTATGTTATAATTAGAGGTGTGCAAAAATATCAAAATATTGATATATAGTATTGTTTAATGTGATGATACAGTATCGATATCGTGGCCTGCTGTATCGATATGTTGCCAAGAGTATTTTTTTCTATACTTTACAAAATTATTTTGTTTTATAGCGCGCTACAGTTTTGTTGTGTGTGGTTTAACAAAAACTTTTAGTATCACAGCCATGATTTAGCCTTTATTTTTAACGGAACCGTATCAAATTGATTTGAAATCGAAAAATGCACTGTATCGAGATAAGTATCGTATCGTGGTCTTTGTATCAAAGTATGTATCATATCATGGTCTTCGTATTGAGATATTTATCGTATTGTGGTCTTTGTATCGAGGTATGTATCGTGTCGTGGTTTTTGTGTTGAGGTATTGTGGTCTTTGTATCGAGATATGTATCGTATCGTGGTCTTTGTATCGAGATATGTATCGTATCGTGGTTTCTTGTGTTGAGGTATTGTGGTCTTCGTATCGAGATATTTATCGTATTGTGGTCTTTGTATCGAGGTATGTATCGTATCGTGGTCTTTGTGTGGAAGTATCGTGGTCTTTGTATCGAGATATATATCATATATACCATGCTCGTTTTAAAATCCAGTGTTACTCTAAGCAATAACTGAACCTCGTCGTCGTTCCATGAAAAGACTGTTTTTACACTCGCCATCTCCCTCG